AGGGAGATGATGAGTGGGAATTCCCAATTTTATAGGTGCGAGGGAAGAAGCAGAAAGAGAAGTGGTTGTGACCTGCAGTGTGGCGAGTGGTGAGTGGGTGGGTGAGTGGGTGGGTGGGTGAGTGAATGAGCGAGTGGGTGAGTGAGTGGGTGGGTGGGTGAGTGAATGAGTGGGTGAGTGAGTGGGTGGGTGGATGAGTGAATGAGCGAGCGAGTGGGTAGGTGAGTGGGTGAGCGAGTGTAATGTTGTGACACCTCAGTCATCTCAGTCATCTCAGTCAGTCGACCCGTGGGCACCTGGGTCTGCCCCGTAACCTCCTGCCAGCGGGTGTTCGACACTTCACGTGGCCTCAAGGTGCACATGGCCTGGCACAAGCGTCGTGGTGACGTCACCGCCACTTAGTGGCGAATGGCGGTTGTTGTTGTTGTGACATGCAGTGTGGTTGTGGGCCAAGTGGGTGGGTGAGCGAACGAGCGAGTGGGTGGGCGAGTGTACTTTTGTAATTTGCAGTGTGGTTGAACACAGTGCGGATGAGGCAAAACAGTCAGTCTGGTAGATAGGAGTTCCGAACTTGGCAGGAGGAATGAACGAGTGAAGGTAAGTAGCAAGAGAAGAGTCATAGGCAGGCGATTGACCGCCGGCGAGCGAGTGAGCGAGCGAGCAAGCGAGCGAAGTGAATCGGTGAGCGCTGAATCATTAATCAACTGCTTCGTTAGTCCATCCCTGCGATGCCCAGAGGAGAGCATCACTTTACCTGATAAAATCTGATGGCTGAAACCTCCCCCTCCTCCTGCCCGTGACTATTTTTACTTGCTGACATCTGCTTTGCCATCTGCCTTGAGAAACACAACGCCGCTGCCATCGCCCCCCTCCGCCAACGCGGACGGTCCTGCGATCGCACGTGGGTAGGTGGCCACGGACAGCGGTGGCGGCGGCGGTGACCGATTCGCCACCGAGTGGGGCGCAATATATCATCGCGCCAAAACGTGTGATTTATCGCGAGGGCCGCCGGGCAGAGTTTCGTTGAGGGGGGGGCGGGGGGGGGATGGTGGCGGGGAGTGAAAAATCATAAACAAAACCGTGGCGCCCGTTATTGCATTCCGACAAACATTAGCGGTGGCCGTTGTTCAAATTCACGCGGTAATTCCTGAACCTTCGGGGAAAAAAAAAAGGCCTGGCAGTGGTGAGGAATGTAATATTAACCTAACATTCGGTGATTATTTTGACTTAATGACTATTTTGCATCACGTATTTTATAGGTTTGCGTCGGACTGTGACCAGTTCAAAACAGAAAGCGTGCTTGCCTATTAGGCATCGGGTGGTTCACCAGGGCTGGTTGAAGCGAGCCTGAGTCTGCTGATGAGCCACTGGACGTCAAAACCGGTCTGGAGATTTTCTTGTTGAACCAAAGTTGCTGAAACCGTGGCACTCCCAGAAGGCCGAGCGGTCGACGGATTGTGCAAAACAAACCGTCACTCTTATTTGTATTTGATGTGCAGAGACAAAAGCGGGAAGGATGCATTGTTTAGTTTCATAATATCTGAGGGACGGGGTAGGTCGTCGCGTTGAACGGCTCGTGCGCGAAGACTTGCGGTACCCGTTGCACGACGATACTGGATGTGGTGTGCCGGTTGTGGCAATATGTTCTGGGCCACTGGTAGGCTAGAACAGTCACGTGACTCATGGCCATGGCCAAAGTGAGAGGTGTTCTTGATGTGGTGTGCCGGGCGCAGAGATAGTTTTTTTCCATTACTAGAACACAAATGTAGCCGTTGCATTCAGCACGCGTCTGATGATTGCTAAACACGTCTTGCGTGATGTAACGATTGTGATCCAAATTCAAGCGGAGAACCGTGTGGGAGAATGCAGACGCGTGTGGGATGTGTTTAGCCATCATCAGGCAAGTGCAGTGTGTACGACTCAATCCAGAATTAAAAGATGGTAATTTGGTAATTGACAGGCGATGGGTGGAGGCGCTGGGATAGTGGACAGCGCACTGCGCTATGACCACGACGACCCGAGTTAGATTCCTTGCCACGGCTAACATCAGTGGCGATTGATATCAGAACGAGTGCCACCCTTTTCCAGCCAATACACCAACCCACACTGACCAGCGAGACAAAGCATGGTCAAAATGCCCCCATAACCGGCATTGGCATGAGGGAAGCCTTCATCCATCGGTCAACAGAGAATGCGTCACATTTATTTGTTAAAAAGACATGCCATGGTGTGTATGTAAGTTGAACTTCTTTCGCACCGTACGTAGCCTGCCAAGCTAATTGGATGTGCGGGGGAAGGTCAACAAACTAAATACAAAAAAGCAAGTTCGAAAGAAATCAGTTTTCAACCTAGACGATTTAATAGCGCATAGCTGCAACGGCTTCCTAATATCGGAAGGAAGAGCCTTCCAGACGGCCACTAGCCAAACGCCGCCGCTGCTGCAGCTGCGATGAAGTCGTGGTGCCGCCACCACAGCGAGGAACGGGCTTTGGCCGACCTGGATTAGTGTATTTGGGGCTGAGGCTGCGACACGCACGGGCACAACAATGGCCCGACTCGGGCGATCCGCTACATTCACAAAGGACCGGGGCAACCGGCTTAACGTCGTCGCGTGCGGCATGGCTCGCCGTGTCGCGGCGGCGGTGGTGGTGGTGCCGCCGGGGGTCCTGTCGATTGCGTTACGAGCCGCGCACAGCAAGGAGAGAAACTGATTCGTTTTGTTGGCTTCCTCAACAAAGACAAACATCCACCCCCCCCACTTGTACAGCCTTAACAGACTGTTGGGGCAAGCGCTGTTAGCGAGTAGCACCTATGAAGGGCCTAGTGGCACACGAGGGGGTGGGTGGCCAACACCACGCCTGGCCGCCTCTGTCTCCTTAGTGGCGATGTTTACACACCGCACTGGGTATTCATTTGAGGCTGAGTCGACCTAGAGGAGGCCCAGGACCGGTTCAGATAATCGACACCGATATGTTGGCCGTGAACGGGAATAGAACCTGGGTCCCCGGGTTCGTAGCGCAGCGCAGCGCTCACCGCTCCACCACCGCTCCACCACCGCTCCACCACCGCTCCACCACCGCTCCACCACCGCTACACCACCGCTCCACCACCGCTCCACCACCGCTCCACCACCGCTCCACCACCGCTCCACCACCGCTCCACCACCGCTACACCACCGCTACACCACCGCTACACCACCGCTCCCCACCGTCTTACCAAACACACACGGATGTACGATTTTAATAAAAAAACGAAATCTTCCAGCGAGCAGCTTGGTTATCCAGGATTGATAATTGATTTTTAGGGTGCGATAGCCCTGAAGTCAAATGTGTGTCGTATACCCTCCTCCACCCGGCACCGGCAACGAATCACGTTGGAACGTGAACCAAACGTGCCACGTTATTGTTATTCTTAGGTTTTTTCGGTAAAGTCACGTCGGTGAAAAATTAAAATTAATAAAAGTAAAATAAATATAAAATAAAAATCACGACGTTTCGGAGGCAACACAAGCTTCCGTCTTCAGGTGGAACCGTCACAGCACGATAGCTGTATCAAGTGAGAGAAATTCCAAGAAAACAGTCCTTGTATATATACTAGTTGAGGGTGGGAGGAGCCAAGGTAGGCCCTCAATATTATTGTTGTGAGGTTCGGTGCGGCTGAAGCACGCTGTTAGGAATGAGCCTTTGTTGTGTAAACTAGGTGCGGATGATGTAAAGGTTATTGTTGCTTCGGCACAACCGCCAGAGTGGCTGGAGAGCGATCACACAACATTCAACAATTGGGTGACGGTTTAAGGTTTTCCCATCTTCCTTGCCGCCTGTGCATCAAGTACCATGTCCGCGTCCGCCGCATTGACCGTATGTCTTGTGGAAGAAGTGTGAGCACCCACATTTTACTGCACCGCACGCGACCTGCCGCTCATCGCCTGTGGTTGGGCTACCCAAAAATTCTAGATTTCAAGCTTTCGTGACTGCAAGGATTCATATTCTTAGGTTTTTTTCGGTAAAGTCACGTAGGTAAAAAAGTAAAATTAAGTAATCAATTAAAGCAATTCATTAACTGTAAAAATTAAAATTAATTAATTACTTAAATTACTTAATTTAAATTTTTTACCTACGTGACTTTACCGAAAAAACCTAAGAATATCTACCCAAAAATACCGCTCGGTGGACAACAGCGGATGGGGAGTGGGGGACGGTGGGGGAGAGGATTTCAGAAACTGGACGGGAGATGGAGTCGAACCGGTGACCTCTGGATTGCAGATCCAGTTGTGTTGACCATTATATACAACTGTGGCAGCATCCCCGATGAAACAGATGACATTATCATGAATATGTTTTACAATTATACCATGCGGGTCCCATCTCTGGTTTTCTCTTGACAATTAGAAACGTGCGTTTAGATTATTTAGAGTGTTTGGCTGTTATTGATTTGCACGTGATAAGCCATTTCTTTGAGCTATCATTTGTGGCCAGGTCGCATCTGAATGAGAAGCTAATAGCTCAGTGGGCATTACCTGGTAAAATAAAAAAAATGTTTATTTTAATTTTTTGTTTAATTTGTTTAGCTTTCCTATACTCTGCACTCCAACTATGTTTTTTGTATTCATTTTTTCGGTAAAGTCACGTAGGTAAAAAATAATAATATCAATAATAATAGAACTATTATTAAAAATAATATAAATAATAATATAACTATTATTATTATTAACTATTATTATTTATAGAAATTTTTTTCTTTTATTATTTATTTTTACCTATGTGACTTTACCGAAAAAACCTAAGAGTATGAATCCTTGCAGTCACAAAAGCTTCAAATATTTTTTTGTATTGTTCGTTGTTGTAACTTTCTGACCTGCCCCTGCTGGACATCTATGAAAAATAACTTTATAGCTCATCGTATTGCTCCAGCGTAAATGAAGATTCAGATGTGCGGCGTATTGAGCTGAACGTGAACAAGGCGTGTGCGTCTGTGTTGGTGTGCGAGTGCCTTTCCCATACCTCGTACTCTGGCGATGAGATTGTCCAGATACTGTTGGTCGTTTTTGTCGGTCCGACAGCTTGGAGTGATGTCAAGCATGTAGTCTGGTCCATATTCTGTAAAATACTACACAAAGACACAGCAAAAACAGTGTACGTTGCATTTTTTGTAACTCACGGTTTCTTGTGCAACCTTCTCCCCGTGCCTGATTTGCCGCTCTTTTTCAATCAATCAGATTATTTATTTATAACCGGGAAAGAGCGCATTCAGATACAATATCTCTTTGGCAAAGGTGAAGCAGGTCAGACGCACTGCGGCATTAATCATGACGGAAATCGCAATTTTTTACCTGTAATGCACGCTAATATCCTTTTCATCCCATCGACATCACCATGAAAGTATCCCAATGTTTCCTCTCTGAATAAACAGCCGTGTATAATTGAATAAAAAAATAAACACGATTCATTTTTACCGCAAGCGTGCCGTTTGAGAGCCGTTTGATTTTTTATGTGGCAGAAATAAAAATCCATAAGAGGTTTTTTTTGGGTTAGAACGCGTAAATATATAAATGTGTCGTTAAAAACCGCCATCACCCGACACAGCCAACTAGTAAGGGTTGTCACGTAAACAGAACGTGGCCAATTCGTCACTCGTACAGCACACCGGTGTGTTGGAGAGCCAAGCCAAAACATTTACAATCTGAGTACGACGTTTCGCCAGTGATTACAACTAGCTTCATCAGGCGACAGCCAGATTTGTGGAGAAGTCCACCTGTTTCGTTCCTTATATAGAGGCGTAGATGTGGTGACCACACTTCTGCAGTCTTGCGCAAAGTGGGGGGGGGGATGACTGAGGCAACGTACATTATGCGAGCCCTTTGAACTTGTCCTTCCTGTCCATTGTGTGTATTAAAATAGCCGTACAACGGTAATCCCTATTGAAGTAAGCTGCCCTTTGTAGGCATGCATTTATATAATGTATTACTTGATGATTCGCTTCCACGCAGCACTAAGGCAGTCACTATCCGAACGGTTAAAGTTTTATTTTTATTTCTTTTAATTTATTTAGATTCTCTCATTAGTCTTGGCCAGTAGTAGCTAGTTTTGCACAAAATTTCAACATTATCAAAATCAATTGAGTGTCCTTGATGGCACGCGTGTTCTGCTACTGCTGACAGTTGTATTTGGGATCATTTAATATTTCTCTGATGTATGCTTTCGTGACTGCAAGGATTAATATTCTTAGGTTTTTTCGGTAAAGTCACGTAGGTAAAACATAAAAATTAATAAAAGTAAAATAAAAATAAAAAGATTTAACTACACTTATTTGGTCCATCTTATTTGACAGACAACTATTACAGGTTATTGATAGACAGCCAGGCTTGTTTTACCATGTTTAGTTTTATTTTTTCACACTATTGTTATGTAGGCCAGGCTTAGCCTTTGTTATGCAGTCTATTCTTAGTCTTAAGCCTCACCTTACCATATTAATAAAAAGTGTGCCTTACTTGGCCCTTCCCCTCTCCAACCATTATATATACGGAGTGGTAGCTCTTGTAATCTCTCATTTACTTGATACAGCTGTCGTGGCTGTGACGGTTCCACCTGAAGACGGAAGCTTGTGTTGCCTCCGAAACGTCGTGATTTTTATTTTTATTTTATTTTACTTTTATTAATTTTAATGTTTTACCTACGTGACTTTACCGAAAAAACCTAAGAATATTTCTCTGATGTTATTTTAGTCTCATGCTGATCATTCGTCCTGTTTGCCCAACAAAACATTTGCCACACGTGCAGTTAATCCGGTACACACCTTCTGTTGATAGCTTCGGTAATACATCTTTCGTACCAGATATTATTTTTTTGTATTTTATGTACCGTGCCAAATCTGACTCAGATCTTTTGTCGCTCGTGTTATTTGATTTGGTTTCGGCATTCAATGCTCTGTTGATTTGTGCACCATTGTAACCGTTCATTTGCAGCGCTTTTTTAACATGTTGAATTTCACTTCTCAGACTGTCACCATTTGACGCTTTCTTAGCTCGATGAATGAGCGTCTTGATAAGAGCAGATTTCTGTGCGGGGTGATGGTGTGACCTGCATTCAGATAGGCGTCAATATGCGTTTACTTTCGGTAAACGCTGCGTGTTATTTTACCATTTCGACCCCATCCGAGCAGAGTATCAAGAAATGGTAGAGCTCTGTCAGCTTCCACTTCCAATGGTGAACTGGATGGATGGGTTTTGCGAGTTGAGAGGAATATATCTATTTTTAATCCGTATATTCTGTACAAATGATTATATTGTCGCTTTATTTAAAACTCTGTTTCCCCAACCCTTAGTTTTACCGCGCGTGCTCTTGCCGCCACGTCACAACACGGAGAAATATCCGTCTGGAACGATCGCAGTGAGCGGCGTACCACCCTGTGTCTGAGAATTACCCCAAGGACACGATGCCACGGAGGCTGCTTACGAGTTCACTCCCGCGAGGTCTCGCTCACACCAGAGGCAAATCCTGCGTACGTCCCTGCGACGAGTGCTCACTGCTTGTCAATCAAACCGAATTCTTCAAGTCTCACACAGCTGGAATAAGCCCAATTAATGGGAAATTATCATTGAATACGACGGCATAACAGAGCCCCGTGGTGTACACAGAGTGCAGTCTACGACGATTATTCACTCGGTGTCATCGGGCGTCTCTATCTCTGCCATGGAGAAGGGGCATTGCCCAAAGCATTCTCTTTCCGTGTTTTCTAGATCACGAGACTCCCCATCCCGCCCCCCACTAATGTTAGTTTTCAGCAAAACTTGGGGGTCGCGTCTTACGATCCGGAGAATACACTGGTCTTCCGGAAGGCGTGTTTTCAATCAAATTGGTAAGAATAATTTTCCGGAAGACGGTCCGTATGTATGAACGTACGCACGTGCATGTTGAATTCCTTTCGGACCGTACGCAGCCCAAGCGTGCCAATCGAAGTTGCTGAACGTATTGCTGTGATTCTCCACAGCAATCCGCGTCTCTCATTGTAAAGCAGTACACGCAGGACAGAAGACACCACCAGCCGTGCATAATCATCTTCCAGAAGACGTCTCTCATTGTAAAGCAGCGCGTCCATCATTGCCCATCTCCAGGAGAGACGGCTCTCTATAGTTACGGCATTTATCTTCGGGAAGACGTATTTTAATCTAGTTGTTCAGAATTGTCTTGCCCACTTGAAAGCGGTGCGGTCACGAACATGTTACGGAAGACAGCTCTCTGTAGCAATACCGCATCCTCCAAATGATAAAACACACTTTCTTTTCCTAAAATTACCCCGAAGTTTTGAGCGCATCCTACTTTCCGGAGGCACCCCCTGCATCTCCGATGTAGCACGGTTGGTTACGTAAGGTGTGAAAGAAGTCCAAAATACACACACACACGCACACGTACACACACATACACACAATCCGGCGAATGCGGCAAAATCATTTGCGCTCTTTAGTTGAACGGTGCCGACGAGCAAGTTGAGTTTTTTTTGCCGTTGTTATTATCCCAGCCGAACGCTGAGCACTGTGGATATCAGCCGCTCAGCCGCCGCTGCTGGTTCACCGGGCTGGATCACGTTATAGAGGATGTAGAAAAAAAAACCGTGGGGGCAGGGGAGAGAGAGAGAGCTGGAAGCACATTCCTGGCACGGAAGGCCTCACAACTGCCATCTGGGAGACCAGTTGTAAGGCACGGGCTTTCTCTTTGTTTAAATTCTAATCTCCTCCTTTTTAAATGCTTATGTAAAATAAAAAAAAACCACACACCAACAAGTAAACGAACCCCGGGCGCATTTTCGCCTCGCTCCCTCCGTGCGGGCAGATGCAAAGAGGCATTAAAATGTGGCTGCACGGATGGATGATTTTATTTTTCTGCATCACACCAGCCATCCTCGACGGAATAAATATTCACAAACTGCTTCCCGCCCATCATTCAGGTTTCGGGGGGGGGGGGGGGGGGAGAAAAAAACCTGTTTGTGTTTTTTGTTGTGTTTTTAAACATATTTTTTGTGTAAACGTGCATTGTGTGTTCTTCATTCAGCGAACCGACGACGCTAACATTTCTAATAATTTCAGGCTGAAAAACAAAAAGTAAACCTACCCATGTAAATACACAATTTGGGTGGGCGGGGGGAGGGGAAGGGGGTTCACGTTGGAGCGGAGGCGCAGTGGTTAGCGCACTGCGCTATGAAGCTGGTCACCTGAAGTCACGATTGCCAGCCACGGTGAACATCGTGGTGATATCTGAAGCTGTGTCTGGGCCGCTGCACCCACCTCCCACCATCAATCTGCAGTGACCAGCGAGTTGAAGTATTGTATGGCTGAACAATCACCACCACGACTAAGACGGTACGGGGAAAGCCTTTATCCAGCAGTGGATTAACAAAAGCAGCTGTTGTCTCCTCGCTTATTAAATCAAGAACGGCAATACATTTCATATAAATGGGACCGTTGAGGTGATCACACTAAATGCCCCCCATTTTTCTTTTAAATCGCACACACTTCGGATTATCTAGGCAAATAGCGGATTAGATAGGTGCAGGGGTGTCTCGTGGGCAAACGATGGCAACGTGTATCAGCAGACGCTAATTTAATTCCACAGATTTATCTGCCCTGGCCCAAGCCTTTACCGACGTACGCAAAATCTGCGTGGGGGATGGAAGACAAAGCTGGGGGTGGGGGATTTGGGAGGACGCAGTGAACGGCACAGCACCAAGGAGTGAAACTTTAGATTACCCAGCAGCCCTCTCTCACGGACATGCGGCACACCACAAAAGAGCCACCGCACAGCCAGGCAGGCACACGGCGGACAAGCGGACGGGCGGGCACGCACCGCGCGAAGTAAAGCTTTCGTGCCTGCAGGGATTCATCTTTTTGGTTTTTTCGGTAAAGTCACGTAGAATGGAAATAATAAAATAATAAAAATAAAACATAATAAATAATTCTCACGACGTTTCGGCCACAACGCAAGCAGCCGTCCTCAGGTGGAGACCAGGTCTGTCGAGTAGACAGAGTCTGAATAATAAAATAATTCTCACGACGTTTCGGCCACAACGCAAGCAGCCGTCCTCAGGTGGAGAGCAGGTCTGTCGAGTAGACAGAG